TCGAATAAAGGCAGCAAGCCCTCTCCTGATTCCCTTCCAATAACACCCCCCATCCTTTCCACTCCTAATCTTAGTGGTGAAGACTTGCCATATATCACTCGTTCAGGCAAAATGGTTAAACCAAACATCAAATTATCACTGTAAATACCTGTTAACAAGTTTTGTTAAAAAATTTGAAAGTTTGCTAATTTTCCTTGTCTTATAATTAGAAATGGCAAACGCATGGATTCATAATTTGAAAATTTAATTTCTAATTTCATTCAGGTCAAGCTTTACATAGCAATCAAATAACAATAATTAAGTATGTGCTCTTAAGGATTGGAATTGTGATTTGAGGATTAAGTGAATGGACATTACAGAAAGCCAGCAAAGACGGTGACAACTATTCAGTGAATAAGAACATTGTTTCAGTGACTGTGCTTAACATTATATTGAAGTTCATTGTGTCACTTTTTGTTTTTTTTTTTTAATTTTTATTATTTTTTTTTTTTGCACATTTTTCAACATGAATGACATTACAAAAAACACACACTGGCATATACCCACACAATCACACAGATGAATACCATCCATCATCATCGTGAAACCTGGTGATGTCAAAATCATCATCATCATCATCATCATCATCATCATCATCATCAGCATCATCTTCATCGTCATCAATCATCATCACATCATCATCATTGTCACTTCATCGTCATCTGCTTGATCAATCATCATCATAGATCAAAGATCATCATCATCATCATCATCATCATCATCAAACATTGATTATTGTCATCCTCATCATCATCATGTATACACTTTTAATATTATATTTTGATTATGTACACATACACCCACTCACACACTCACCATAAACCACGCATGCACACACACACACATTAGGAGAGAGAGAGAGAGAGAGAGAGAGAGAGAGAGAGAGAGAGAGAGAGAGAGAGAGAGAGAGAGAGAGAGAGAGAGAGGGGGGGGGGGGGGGGGGGGGTCTGAAGGTAGAATGTTGAAGACAAGAAATGATGATATTTTTGTTGTACAATTGCAAAAACTACTTATTTGAAACTACTTATATGTGCTTCTAAAATATTCGGCTAAGACAGGGGCATCAAGAGATCATGAGTAGTAAAAATTTAAAACTGAATTGTGGAATTTAAAAGGCTACAGGTTAAGTAATTTCTCCCATTTTTTCCATTCGTTATCAAATTTTTGTTTTTCTTTGTCCTCTTTACCTTTTACAATATATTTCTGGATTGAATAGTTTTCTTTAATTATATTTATAAGAACATTTATATTTAAAGAGTTGTCAAAAACATCTCATTCTATAAATGTACTGTTTTATGATTATGACAATTTCATTGTCAACACGATTACTGGGAAGAGAGTTCTGAAAGAGAAAGCCAAAAATAAACGATTTTTTGTTTACCGAGGAAGGGATTGATAAAGCTTCTAATAATGTTTTAAAGCACTGAAGTAAGTTTTGAACTTCCTGGCACTCCCATAGAACATGGGTAATTGTCTCAGTTTCAGTATTACAGAAAACACAGAGAGGGGAGATAACTAGTCCTAGTTTGAAAAGTAAAGAATTGGTTACCAAGATGTAATGGGTTACTCTGTACTGAAACCATTGAAGTTTTGCACTGTTTGTCACCTGGAATGGGATTCTATGATACCTAGTCCATGATGAGTGGTCAATATCGCCTTACAGTGAGTTCCATTTTTTGGTGCCTGTTGGAATCAATTCTGATTTATTTAAAAGATTATAAAATAATTTTGAACCTTTTTTATCTCTGAAGAAAATCTGTAAGTTAATTGGTATGTATGGGTAAGTTATATTAAGTACTTTATGTGTATCGTATGAGGAGATATATTTTTTTATAGCTGAGACCAGACCATGATACTCTAGAAAATTAGTGTTTATTCTATATTTCTAAAGAAGGGAGATGTAACATTATGTAGCAATACTGTTGTGCTATCTATAGTCAGTTATTATTGACAGTCAGGAGTTATTTCCCCTTATGTATTACCCATAATTCCGGATCCGCCATCTTTGAATAAATTGTTGTTGAGAGAACACGTGTATGTCGTTCTCTGGGCCATGCCCCACCCACTAAACAACATACAAGACATTGCACATGTTAACTAGATGTTGACAGAAAATTAAGTTCCACTATCTCGTGCAAACATACAAAAAAGATCAATTTCACCGGAGCTCTAGAACAACCGACCGACTAGGTCCTGGTGACCCTTGATCTTTTATCGTCATCATTACATGTTTTGAGATGAAATATCATATCAATGTAATTTCTTAAGTGAAAAATGTAAAAAAAAAAAATAATAATAATAATAATAATAATAATAATAATGACGTCATCAAAACCAACCCGTTATTCGAATTACATACTTTACTATAGCCTAAAACATCAATGACGTCGTTAAAACCAACCCGTCAGTCGAATTACATACTTTACAAAAGCTAAATACATCAATGACGTCGTTAAAACCAACCCGTCAGTGGAATTACATACTTTACTATAGCTAACTACATCAATGACGTCATCGAAACTAACTCGTCAGTCGAATTGCATACTCTACCAAAGCCCCAAACCCTAATGACGTCGTCAAAAACCAATCCGTCATTCAAAATGCACAAAAGTCATCGCTAAAAAGATACAAAAATGGTAAGTAAACAAAAACGATGACGTCACACACTCCGGTGATGATAGTGAGTGACTTGGGATCCTATAGTTGGGGGTTGCTAAGGCCGCCATTTTGATTTCGTTTTAACGAAATCCAAGATGGCGAAATTTCTTTTGCAAACACCTCCCTCATATTATCAGGACATAAGCTTAAAAGATATCTAAGAGACTCATCTTCAACATCCTGTTTAGTAGTAGCAATATTTTCAAGTTTATTTTCAAGAGCAATTATCTGGTAATGTATTATTGGAGTCATCAATGGTAGACTGACTGACAAAGTATTTTTTTATAAAGATCTGCGTATCGTTTATCATCTCCAGAGTGATTATCATTAAGTATTATATAAGAAACTTATAAAAGTGTACAACAACTTCCACCGATCTCGTGTCGATTTTACCAGTTAACTTTAAAATGTCTTCACTTGTTTGCTTTCCTAATGGCATCGGTACATGTATACCTTGTCTGTCTAAATCGCCGCCAATGATGTGGATTGTGTATACGTTTTTGCTTTTCGCTGTAATCTTTCCCGAAGCCTAATTCATTTTCTAACTTCATCATGCACCCATGCCGGTACTTTATGTCTTATAACAACAGTTTTATTAGGGATACAACTTCTAAATTTATATAAAAAAATCAATCAATAGTTTTCTAGTGGACCAGTCCAGTCAATATAATTCAAGCTATCACGAAATATTTTATAATCGCCATTCTTAGATCGCGAAATGTGCCTTTCAATATTTATACTCGATGTGTTGACATTCAAGATGAGTTAATGGGACATGGGTATCAAGATTTATCAACTACAACTGTCTTAATACAACTGAAGTCTAAAAGAGATGACGAGTGGACTGTAAACTGATCCAATTATATCTATACCTTATATCGATAAAACGATGAGGGTGAATAGCTAACAGATTTTCATTAAAATCATCGGTGATTAGAACGCTATCACATTTCTAATTATCAATGGAGTGATAAATAAAGTTCTGAATTTCATTTCCAGAGTTTCGTAGTCTATAAAAAGTTCTAACGTGATTATTCTGTTAAAAGTCTGCAATTCAACCGAAATCCAACTGTATTCCGATTACTTATTTCAAAATGCTGAACGTCGAAGGGCAGTAATATTTTTGTTAACATACGCGGCAATACCTGCACCAATCCTCTCTCACCGTGATTTTACATATGGGTTATGGCATTTAGAAATAAAAAGTTCACCTGATGTTTCTTAGCCAAGTCTCAGTAAAAATACCACATTGGTGAAATTCAATAAAAAACTAAATCAATGTTTTGTAGAAGTATTTGTAGTATACTAGTGCTAAATAATCATTGTTAAATATTGTTCAGTCGGAAAACGAAGAAGAATTTTCAGCGCCTGGGTTACTTTCAATATCACCATCTTTAAGAATCAAAATGTCATATGATATATTTTAAGCACAAAAATTGTGTATAAATGCATTCATTTAACAACTTGGCAATGCTTTGACATATATGCTAAACAGTAAAGTAGATTGAACAGAGGGCTTGATATTCACCTGACAAGGGTTCAAGGCCAAGAGTCTTGTATATCTTTAACTTTTGAAACTACCCTCTAAGGTACCTATATTCCCAATCATTTACTTGAAGAATTTTTTCAAAAAGAATAAGAACCCCTCCCCCAATTTTTTTTAAGCGTGTAGCTATAATACCATCATATATCAATATAATATGAACTCATTTAGTTCGTTAACACTACAGAAACAGTAAACACTGCCCTAGTCTAAATTCAGTCTGCAATATCTCCACTTTTGTTCGTTAACACTACAGAAACAGTAAACACTGCCCTAGTCTAAATTCAGTCTGCAATATCTCCACTTTTGTTCGTTAACACTACAGAAACAGTAAACACTGCCCTAGTCTAAATTCAGTCTGCAATATCCCCACATTTGAACGATCTTAACTCAAATATTGTGGTGACCAAACATGCTTGTAATCGACCGTCTGTGTAAAACATGTCCACGTTTTCTGTTATTTTTTATGTATTTCCTCCAAATGCAATATTCGTGAACGAACGAATCTATATGATTCTTGAGCTTTTAAACTTTCGGTTGTTTTTGGAGCTTGACCCCTAAATTTACCGTTTCGCTACGATGTTGGCGGCCAAATCTGATAAGAATGAGACTTCCGGTTATGAAGGAAATAATTCAAATGTTACATGGTTACTAAGGGCAGACTAGACTTCCTCTCTTAGTTATGTTGTCCTTCGCCTACCAAAGACACGACTACCACGTGTCATTCTGGTCTAGAAACAAATGAATAAAAAGAAGGCAATTCATCTCTAGTTAAGGTTTATTTTCAGAAGATATAAGTGATATTTGAATCAGTCCCTGTCATATACAGTGTTATGACACTGTATACACTGGCGGACTTTTCATTTCTTTGGTGGAACGTACTTCTCGTTGTTTGGATTTAGCTGTTCGGCATGGTTATCAGCATCCGTCGCGTTCCCTTTGAAATGCCTGTCATAGCCTTTGTATTCCGGGTTGTTAGGGTTACATTGATTGGCGTGGTTGTCATTGTCCTTCTGTGTAGGAACACCACCAGCTTTGCTAGACATCGTGACGTTCTCAGATGGTCTCAGATGTGTTCAATGACCTGTTGGATTAAAAAAAATTGTATTGCAGAATGATGGAAATTGGTTTATAAAAAAATCCATAGTGTACATGTAATATTATCCCACGGAGACCAAAGTAGATGTGTCGGTGCGACACGAGTGTCCCCACGGGGAACAAAGTAGATGTGTCGGTGCGACACGAGTGTCCCCACGGGGAACAAAGTAGATGTGTCGGTGCGACACGAGTGTCCCCACGGGGAACAAAGTAGATGTGTCGGTGCGACACGAGTGTCCCCACGGGGAACAAAGTAGATGTGTCGGTGCGACACGAGTGTCCCCACGGGGAACAAAGTAGATGTGTCGGTGCGACACGAGTGTCCCCACGGGGAACAAAGTAGATGTGTCGGTGCGACACGAGTGTCCCCACGGGGAACAAAGTAGATGTGTCGGTGCGACACGAGTGTCCCCACGGGGAACAAAGTAGATGTGTCGGTGCGACACGAGTGTCCCCACGGGGAACAAAGTAGATGTGTCGGTGCGACACGAGTGTCCCCACGGGGAACAAAGTAGATGTGTCGGTGCGACACGAGTGTCCCCACGGGGAACAAAGTAGATGTGTCGGTGCGACACGAGTGTCCCCACGGGGAACAAAGTAGATGTGTCGGTGCGACACGAGTGTCCCCACGGGGAACAAAGTAGATGTGTCGGTGCGACAAATTAGATGTGTCGGTGTCCCCACGGGGACCAAAGTAGATGTGTCGGTGCGACACGAGTGTCCCCACGGGGAACAAAGTAGATGTGTCGGTGCGACACGAGTGTCCCCACGGGGACCAAAGTAGATGTGTCGGTGCGACACGAGTGTCCCCACGGGGAACAAAGTAGATGTGTCGGTGCGACACGAGTGTCCCCACGGGGACCAAATTAGATGTGTCGGTGCGACGCGAGTGTTGCCACGGGGACCAAAGTAGATGTGTGGGTGCGACACGAGTATCCCCACGGGGAACAAAGAAGATGTGTCGGTGCGACACGAGTGTCGCCACGGGGACCAAAGTAGATGTGTCGGTGCGACACGAGTGTCCCCACGGGGAACAAAGTAGATGTGTCGGTGCGACACGAGTGTCCCCACGGGGAACAAAGTAGATGTGTCGGTGCGACACGAGTGTCCCCACGGGTACCAAAGTAGATGTGTCGGTGCGACACGAGTGTCCCCACGGGGAACAAAGTAGATGTGTCGGTGCGACACGAGTGTCCCCACGGGTACCAAAGTAGATGTGTCGGTGCGACACAAGTGTCCCCACGGGGAACAAAGTAGATGTGTCGGTGCGACACGAGTGTCCCCACGGGGAACAAAGTAGATGTGTCGGTGCGACACGAGTGTCCCCACGGGGACGGGGAACAAAGTAGATGTGTCGGTGCGACACGAGTGTCCCCACGGGGAACAAAGTAGATGTGTCGGTGCGACACGAGTGTCCCCACGGGGAACAAAGTAGATGTGTCGGTGCGACACGAGTGTCCCCACGGGGAACAAAGTAGATGTGTCGGTGCGACACGAGTGTCCCCACGGGGAACAAAGTAGATGTGTCGGTGCGACACGAGTGTCCCCACGGGGAACAAAGTAGATGTGTCGGTGCGACACGATGTGTCGGTGCGACACGAGTGTCCCCACGGGGAACAAAGTAGATGTGTCGGTGCGACACGAGTGTCCCCACGGGGAACAAAGTAGATGTGTCGGTGCGACACGAGTGTCCCCACGGGGAACAAAGTAGATGTGTCGGTGCGACACGAGTGTCCCCACGGGGAACAAAGTAGATGTGTCGGTGCGACACGAGTGTCCCCACGGGGAACAAAGTAGATGTGTCGGTGCGACACGAGTGTCCCCACGGGGAACAAAGTAGATGTGTCGGTGCGACACGAGTGTCCCCACGGGGACCAAAGTAGATGTGTCGGTGCGACACGAGTGTCCCCACGGGGAACAAAGTAGATGTGTCGGTGCGACACGAGTGTCCCCACGGGGAACAAAGTAGATGTGTCGGTGCGACACGAGTGTCCCCACGGGGAACAAAGTAGATGTGTCCCACGGGGAACAAAGTAGATGTGTCGGTGCGACGGGGAACAAAGTAGATGTGTCGGTGCGACACGAGTGTCCCCACGGGGAACAAAGAAGATGTGTCGGTGCGACACGAGTGTCCCCACGGGGAACAAAGTAGATGTGTCGGTGCGACACGAGTGTCCCCACGGGGAACAAAGTAGATGTGTCGGTGCGACACGAGTGTCCCCACGGGGACCAAATTAGATGTGTCGGTGCGACGCGAATGTCCTCACGGGGAACAAAGAAGATGTGTCGGTGCGACACGAGTGTCCCCACGGGGACCAAATTAGATGTGTCGGTGCGACGCGAGTGTTGCCACGGGGACCAAAGTAGATGTGTGGGTGCGACACGAGTATCCCCACGGGGAACAAAGAAGATGTGTCGGTGCGACACAAAGAAGATGTGTCGGTGCGACACGAGTGTCGCCACGGGGACCAAAGTAGATGTGTCGGTGCGACACGAGTGTCCCCACGGGGAACAAAGTAGATGTGTCGGTGCGACACGAGTGTCCCCACGGGGACCAAATTAGATGTGTCGGTGCGACGCGAATGTCCTCACGGGGAACAAAGAAGATGTGTCGGTGCGACACGAGTGTCCCCACGGGGAACAAAGAAGATGTGTCGGTGCGACACGAGTGTCCCCACGGGGAACAAAGAAGATGTGTCGGTGCGACACGAGTGTCCCCACGGGGACCAAAGTAGATGTGTCGGTGCGACACCAATGTCTCCATGGGGAACAAAGTAGATGTGTCGGTGCGACACGAATGTCTCCATGAAGACCAAAGTATAGAGATTTTAGTGTTATTAAAGTGCAGTCCTCCAGACTTTCCAGACCAGAATGAAAGTTAAACTTTCATCATCTCGTTATACACGTCAACTTCCAGTCCATTATCACCGACTACCTCTGAGAAAATTGATACTTATCACCGTCTAGCTGTGAGGAAGCTGATAATATCAACTTTCTGAGTTAAACACCACAACTGTCGACAAAGAATTGTTCGAAACCAAATAAAGCACTTAATTTTCATCTTCTTATTATACAATTTCGCACCAAATTTCATTTCAATGAATCTTTCGTTTTCGAAGATTAGATAAGCAGAAAGCGAATTATGATGGAATGACGGCTATGACGAACACTACACATATATTATACCTTTGTATATCATCAACACTTTAATCCTGTTGTAGTCGTTTAATTTAGAGAGTGTTTATATTGTATCAGAACTTGAAAATATCGGCTAACTACACTTAAATCAGGTGCATATATTTCAGTACGAAAAACATCGACTATATCACATGGAAAAAATAAGTTAATCGATTTCCTACAGCTACAAGCATACTCCTGTTATAAAATTAATACTTTGCCTGTCCAAAGGTCGGCTTGATATGAAGAAACGCCTTCAACTTTAGTGATATTGTAACTTGATTCCGGAACGCTAGCCAGTGAACAACTCGACGAAGCATGACCAACGAGAAACTTCAGATTCCATATTTGATATGGAAAATACGTCTACGCAAAATTCTTTTCTCTGATTTGTCAAGATTTTTTTTTCTTTTCGTGTTTGGATGAAATACAATCCCGATCCGCCCACTTGATAATGATTGAAGTCAGTGTCAATTCGCCGCCTTGCGACGGGTTTGTAGGGGCTCTTTTTTCATTATAGAATTTTTGTTTATTATTACACAGTGTCATTCAATAAAGCAAACAAGAAACACGGACAACAACATAAAAAGTTTAAAAATCTTAAAATGTACAAATCCCGATCCGCCCATTTGATATCTTAAAATGTACACCCGGCTGAATGAAGTACCACCAGAACAGAATGTCGCCTGCTTATAAGTACTTAACTTACAATTACAGGATTCCAATCTTGGTGATACCTTTGTTTTTTATATTTAAGTGATCAATTTGATGGACATTTATGAAACATCAGCGCCATATTAATCTGTTGTATAAGAATCTTCTCTCACTTATCGATATCACAAATTGCTGCTGCTTTTAGCCCAACAACACTCTTTCCGACTAAAGATGTACACAAATTAATTGCCCACTATCCAATATTACTCATTTCCCTTTGGAATGTGATTGACTCAAGCATGAATGAATTTTAAATGACTGAACTTTTCGCGAATTAGCTGTCAATAACGCCATGTCATGTCACACAAGTTCTTGAAACAAATAATTGAGAAATTAATTATAAGCTTTGATTGGAATAGATTTTAGTTTCTTGCTGGTATGAAAGAAAACTTTATTTGCAAACTTACCATGATTGCGATACGAGCATGCATTTAGCACGAATCTAAAAAGTTTAAACCAATGGAAAATCAAATGCATTGCGTTTAAGAAATGTTCAGAGGATGTTTTCATGTTGAAGAAAATAATTGGCAGCAGACATTATCGTTTAACTCTGTCCTGTACTGCCTTGAAGACATCTTCTCACTGACTGTCGGTCTAAAAAAACTTTAGAAAGAATAGTGCCTATACTGTCAAACAGAATATACAGTGGAAAAAAACACAGGCTAACTCAAATGCCTGAGGTATTTCCAAAGTTCCAAACTCAGGAGAGAAATAATTCCTAATCTAGTTTATAACAAACTGAAAAATCTTAGCTATTCTCAAGTACACTTACCTGGGTGAGCTGCAGAAGAGCTTGTGAGAATTATGTGTTGCGTCTAACTACCTGATGTGTAATCTGCGCATGCGTGGACAACAGCGTACTGGAAATTTCCAGAATTTATTTTCATTTTCGGTTCAACGAAACGATCGTTCATGGTCACGCTAGTTAGCATTTCAAACACATGACTCAATATCGATAATATAAAAAATGTGTAATCTGTGCATGCGTGGACAACAGCGTACTGGAAATTTCCAGAATTCATTTCAAACACGTGACTCAATATCGATAATAATAAGAAATGTATGTAATTGTGAAACTGTACCGTGGTCAGGCCG